GGCGCCGCCGAGGCGGGGGCCGCCATCGTCCACATTCATGTGCGTGATCCGGAGACCGGCAAGCCGTCCATGGAGCTCGGCTACTACCGCGATGTGGTCGAGCGCATCCGTGCCAGAAACACCCAGCTGATCCTGAACATCACCACCGGCCCCGGGGGACGCTTCGTGCCATCCCCGGATGAGCCGCGGATCGCGGCGCCGGGAACGACGCTGATGAATCCGGAGAAGCGGGTCGAGCATATCGCAATTCTGAAGCCCGAGATCTGCACCATCGATCTCAACACCATGAATTCCGGCAAGGAAGTGGTGATCAATACACCGGGCAACGCACGGCGCATGGCCAGGGTGATGCGGGATGCCGGTGTCAAGCCGGAGGTGGAATTGTTCGATTCCGGCGACATCGCATTGATGCACGACATGTTGAAGGATGGTTCGCTGCAGGGCCCCGTGCTGTGCTCGTTCGTGATGGGCGTACGCTACGGCTTTCAACCCAGCCCCGAGACCGTGATTTATGCACGCAACATGCTGCCGGCGGACGCGGAGTTCACCGCCATAGGCATCGGCCGCGCGGCGTTCACCTCGGTGGCGCAATCCTATCTGGCGGGCGGCCATGTGCGCGTCGGCCTGGAGGATGCGGTCTATTTGTCGCGGGGTGAGCTTGCGCCATCCAATGCCGCAATGGTGGAAAAGGCACGCCGCATGGTGGAAGATCTGGGAGGCCAGATTGCAACGCCGCGCGAAGCGCGTGACATCATCGGCCTGCCGGCGCGGCTCGCCGATGCCCGCGGCGCGTGAGGAGGGGGCAATGACAACAGCAAGCGCCAAGGCGTCATCCACCGCGGCAGCGGTCGAGGCGACGTGCGTGCGCCTGACGGCCAAGGTGACGGATGCGGCATCCGTTGCCCCTGTCATCTGTCTCTTATACACATCTAGATGTGTATAAGAGACAGGTGATATGTTGCGGGCGCAAAAGCGCCATCCGTACCGGCCGGCGCACATTCACTTTCTCGGCTTCAAGCCGGGATTCAAGACGCTGATCACCCAGGTTTTCGTCGATGACGACGAGCATCTGGAAACCGACGTAGTGTTCGGCGTCACACGGCATCTTGTCGGCGATTATCGGCGCCACGACAGCGGCGCGCCCCCGGCGCCCGGCGTGTCGGCCCCATGGTACACTCTCGACTACACCTTCGTGATGGAAGCGGGCGAAGCCAAGCTTCCTGTTCCTCCAATCAAGTGAGTGGTCATGCCATATCCTGTTTCCTTGAAGGACAAGGTCGTTCTGGTGATCGGCGGTGCCGGCGGCATCGGGGCCGCCAGCGCGCGTCAGTTCGCGGAGAATGGCGCCCGTGTGGTCATTACGCACCGTGACGACGGTGATAAAGCGGTGAAGGCCAAGGCGCTGATCGATCAGTTGCCGGGGGGCGGGCATGCGGCGTTTCCCGCCGACGTCGCCGACACCGCGACGTTGATCACGCTGCGTGATGCGATCACCGCCCAATATGGCCGGCTGGATGTGCTGGTGAATTCCGCAGGCTTCACCAAGGCGGTGCCCCATGCCGACCTCGATGCGCTGGACGATGATTTCATCGACCGGATGTTCCAGGTGAATTGGCGTGGCCAGTTCGCCGCGATCCGGACCTTTGCGCCGCTGCTGAAGGCCTCAGGCGACGGCTTGATCGTGTCGGTGTCGTCGATCGCCGGCATTAGCGGCAGTGGGTCGTCGATTGTCTACGGTGCAACCAAGGCCGGCATCGATGTGATGACGAAATCGCTGGCGCGGGTATTGGCGCCGCAGGTGCGTGTGCTCGGCGTATCGCCCGGTGCGGTGGACACCAATTTCGTCCCGGGACGCGGCGCCGAATTCAATGCCAAGGCGGCTGCGACAATTCCCTTGAAACGCGTTGCGACTGCGGACGACGTGGCCGCTGCCATCGTCGCCTGCGCGACCCATCTCGCTTATTCGACCGGCTCGACGATCATCGTCGATGGCGGTCGGGTTCTCTGATTTTTGTTTTGACGCGTTTTCTCCGCGCAAACGCTTCGCGTTTGTCGCGAGCGCACCGGTCTCCACTTC